CTAAAATAAATAATACATAGTTGAAATTATTTTACGTAACTTTTAATTTATGTAAAATATATATTTAATTATAAATTTAATTTAATCATCAAAATTTCTACAAACAATAACAAGTAGATAAATTTAAAAAAATATAATATTATAAAGATATAATATTTTCAAAGAACATAAATTCTGTTATAAAATGTTCGAATCTATTAATCTTTTGTTTAAAACATTTTTTATATCTTACTAAACACTACAAACGCGTTGTGTACGCGCTATTTATCTTTTTAAACAAAAAGAGCAAAAATTACATAATACACCATTAACTCTTTGTCATAACTGTCAAACGATCTTCGTGATAACAATCGTTCACGAAATAAGTGTAATGAGAGAATCAATGTTACGGAAAAGTGGTAATAATATTTCGAGAAATACGAATATCGCATGCTGATTGAACTTGCATGCCTTTTTTAAAAAGGATCAGTTTGTTGATAAATGCTAAAAAACAAAAGAGTTGATTTTTCTTAAAAAAAGGTTTTATTTTTCCTACGTATGAACAAAAAATTTTATTTTTATAAAAAAAATATGAATATCTTATTTTAATTTATACTACGTATGTTTAAAGTTTATCAAAATTGGGAGAGATACTTGAGCATCATTCTTTTTAAATAAAGATAATTTAAATTAAAAGGTATCATGAAAATTAGGTCGTCAGGTCAAGGTCAGATTACGGTCAGATCAGATCAACTCGTTAAACTTCATTTCATGCAGAAAGTAAGAGATAATATATGATAAATTTATTTTAAAAGAAAAATATGAAGCAGAGAATGATAGGAAGTTAATAATTATAATAATTCAAGACGATACATTCCAAGCAGAAAAAATAAAAAATATGATACAAAATACATGTTTTATAAATTAATAGTACAAAATGAGCAGAATAGATTTTAACTGACATTTTCATCATTTATCATTAAAAAGTTGTCAAAAAAGTTTATTGCTCCGTAGGTTTTTCTTTTTAAATACTGTTCCGCTGACTTAATCTTCCTCTTTAACACAAGTATTTTTTTTTAATTTACGAAGCAACAAATTTTTTTCTTTAGCAACCTTTTAACAACAAATGAAAATATTAGTTAAAATTGATTTTACTCATTTTGTTTCGCTAACTTCTAAGATGCAAATCGCTCACGATTATGCTTACGATGTCTCTCAAATTCATTTCTATGAATATAAAATAATATTAGATTATTATCAATTATTAGATTAACAATTAAAATTTCGTATTTCTGGTTTTTACTAACAATGTTTATCACATATAAATTAAATTATTAATATAAATATAAAACAAAATAAAGTTCATTACTTAAAAGGAAAGGAATGTTTTCTTCGCTTTTAATGGTAAATATTTCAAAAAGTTAAAGGAATTTTATGTACAGACAGAATTTCAATATTTTTATATAAAATTTTTTTATACATTTAATTTATAAATCTAAAACTTTTCATTGCTGTTTCACCTTTTTAATTTCACAAATATACCATATATTACATAAAAATAGAAATTGGAAAAGATTTTCAAATCTATATGTATTTAAATTTTAATGATATGTTGTATAAATCATTTATCTTC